TTTAACAATGTTTTCCTGTTATTATGAAATATGGTAAGATACTGCAAAAAATCCACAGTAAATTCACAGGAATCTGTTAGTTTTGCTGTTTTTTGTCTCCTCAGTTCAGATCATCTTACTGCTGTTGGTTAGATTTGCCCTGAGCTCACCGCTTCCAGCAGGTCAAACATGTCTTCTCTTATCCTGATTATTCTCATGTTTTAAAAACAACACTTTTATATGAGATGTTTTCTCTCCATCATTCTACAGGAGGAAACAGTTCCCTGGATATTTTTTATTGTGAGGCTGCAGGATGTGCTGCCAWCGTGTCAAAGGTGTTCTGTGATGACCAGTGTGTCTTTGAGAATAAACACGTTGCAGATTGCAGAGGACTTCCRTCACTTCACTCTGTCTGTCAGCATGATGGCCGTGCCTTTATTTCTTTTAAAGCAACCAAATGTGAATTTGAGAGTAAGAGCAGCTACATTAGCACCATCAAATGTACAGGTATTTACACATTTCTCTTCAAGCTGCATGTTGTTTTTCAGTCTCTTATTGTATTCTGAAACAATTTCTGAATTAGACTTTCCTCTAATGAAATCAGAATTTGGTGTTCAGTTGATTTTTGTAAAATGTTATTTCCTGTAATTTTGTCATGCTTGTTTTACTTGTACACTCGGAAAAAAAGGGATCTCAGAAATTGACATTTTGTTCTGTATTGTTGAAAAATAACTAAAATGCTGCCAATAATCTGGAGGCAAAGACAGCAGTGTCCAGACAGTCATTTTCTAATTGTTATTTTAAAAAAATGTTTTTCTTGTTTTAATAAATTCAGCACAAAATTAGTCTAGTGACAGGGATGATTGCTGTATCTCACTTTCACCACTGGGGGGCACTGTTGGTAAATAATTTTTCAGGTTGGCCCCTGACAGCTTTTCAATCAATATGTTGAGAAAAATAAGACATTTAATGTTTAATTTTTGAAATTATTTTTATTTTATCCTATTTTTTTAAGTAAACATATCTGATTAAATAAGACCAGATATATTTTTAAGACAAAGTAGGCCTGATTGTTATGGAATAAACAAGGTTTTTGATGTCCACTAACTGTCAAATAACACAATTTTATTGTCTTGTTTTGTCAACTAGATGTTGATCCCGTCTGTTTAAATCACAGTAAGTGTTTTCGGTCAAAACAGACATTGAAAAGTGCTGCTCACACTTTTTACTGAACATTTATTTGATTTTTTTTTCTTCTCTTTAAACTCCCACAGCACTCATCACATCGACACCAGCTGTTTTAGATGTTGAGCAGAAACCAGAGTGGACCACAGATAAGACGATATGTATCATTTTAGTAATCTGTAAGTTATAATCCTCATGAGCTGTGATACGCTCTGATCAGCCTTTTTCTTTTGTTTCTGAATGCACACAATAAAAATAAATTAACATACAACTAAACAAATAAAAAATAAGGAGTTGTAGTAAAAACTGCAGTAAGTGTTAGATTTTAGAAAGCTGGCTTGTTGCTACTAACCCAACTTGCCTTTCTCTGCTTTCCTGCTTCACTGAGGGACAACATGTTCTTATAAAGTCTGTCAGGTGAGATCAGAGTTGCATCTGCTCCATTTGTAATTGTTGCATTTGGTTCTAAATCCTTTTAAAAATTATTTTACAGGTGGAATTGTACTGCTAGGAGCTCTAATATGGTACTGCCGTAGGATGAGACTAACCCAAGGGCCAGACRAGCCAGCATCAAACCCCACCAGGTTACAGACTAGACTAATATAACTCATCCTGATATGTTTAATAAATGTGACGTCCTCATGTTAATACAAACTGTTTTCAGGAACCCCAGTGAGACAGTATCTCTACAAGGTGTTCAAACGTCTGGAGGCATCAATGAGAGGTCAGTGTAGATAAAATTAAAAACACAAACATGATGCATGAATGAAAGTATTTAAGTTTTATGGTGGCTTTTTATATTTCAGCAGAACTGAAGATGGCAACACCACCTTATCGTAGCCATGGAGATTAATGTCACGCACCTCAGATCTTTGCTCTTTTTAAATTTCTTTTTGGTTTGGGGCGGCTGTGGCGGAGTGGTTAGGGGAGTCGTTCTGGAACCGGAAGGTCGCTGGTCCGATCCCCCGTCCAGCCGTCTCAGTCGTTGTGTCCTTGGGCAAGACACTTCGCCCACCTTGCCTACTGA